CTGTCGACAATGATTGAGATCAAGAAAGGCTGTCAGTGTGTCTTCACACCTGTAAATTCAAGTTTATTTGATAGGGAACAAAGCAAACATACATAAAAATTGTGATCTGAGTGCAAGATGAGTTTCATGAAAAATATATACTGATGTCTTTTTCAGAGAGCATCTCAGATTGGGTCTGAAAAAAAATGTACCTGAGGGACAGAGAAGCTCTGAGCTGAGCTTGGAAGACTGTGAAGAACTGATGGAGGAGAGGGCATCTCTCCCTGTCTACTTATTTCTATACTTCCTTCTTTTGTTGAGCACAGGAAGATGACAGTGGCCATGATGCAATAGAAGAAGGCATTCATGGGCATTTGCTATTTCAAAGCCTTGTGACTGTTCTACGTATCATTCTCTCTGAATGTAGTACCTCCTGCAGGTTCCCCTCCTTTCCATTTCCCCTCTTTCTATATACAAATCCTCCACCCTTTACCTAAATGGGGCACACTCTGTCTTTAGGTCTCAGCCTAGACATCATTTTAGCTGGAGAGCCTTTCATAATTCAGCACCACTAGTTAGGGGTCATCCCTGTGTTTTCTGTCATACCTTATCCATATCCTTACCCTACTGCTTATCACAGGGTATTTTATTGTCTAATAACTTAAGGCCTCTGCCAATAACTTAGCAGGCATTCTACCATTCTCCTTTGAGCTCTAAGCCTTGTACCATGGTTGGCACATGGTGGGCCCTTGAGAGAGATAAATTGAGTGAATTTCAGTACTCAGCCCATAGATGTAACCTGTGGCTCCTGGTGTCCCTGGAAGTTGTAGCTATAAGGGTGAGCCCATTGTCTTGCGAGGATCCGGTGTTCCAGTAGTTGTCACTGACGATTGTAGCATGGACCCTATACTTCTGATATTACACAATAGTTTAACCTTCCTTTTATTTCCACCTTCTTGTGAGAGCTTATTAGAGCACTCTATCTGTGCTGCCTGAGACCCTCATTAAGCTGCCCCCTGAAAGAGCTGCATGAATCTGGGTACACTGTGTCTAGAGCCCATTTCTAGCTGTTAGCACATCTCAACAAGAAATGAAACCAGAAGCTGAAAATGAGTCGCTTATGAGCATTAGGGTTCTTTTCAGTTTCATCTGAAACAAAAGTTGGTTCATATACCCTTTCCTATTAGAATATTCCAGCTATTGCCATATTAATGTTAATTACCTTTTTTTTTTTAAGTTGTCAGTGACAGTAACCAACCTAGTCCCTTTTTCTTCAGGAGTGAACCACTTGCCCCTTGAGATTAGAGTGAGGTATTAAGTAAAAGTTGTGAAATGATTTGACTTCGGAGTCTCCAAACTGTCTTTCCAATCACAGTACTTGAATTCAGGATAACTGGTCAAACTTGGTGTTCAAAAGGAACAAATTCTGCCTCTAGTCTAGACAGTCAACATACCCTTGTGTTTGGAGTAATCAGGCTTTTGTGTGATAAGCTATAAAAATGGATGTGTTGCAGTATTTAAATATGACAAACGAAGAAGGGAAAGGAAGTCCCAGTGATGCCTAAATTGAAGCCAGGCTTCCGTGTCCCACTTGTTCTACTTCCTGCTTATTTGTCTATACACTTTTGTATGTGGATTTTTCCCTCAGCACAACTTATGCTGATGCCCAGTATTCACATTGTGAGGCCCATGTATCAGTGGCCTGTTAGGGGAACACAGCCCCAAGGAGAGAAGCTGTCACTTCAAAGCATGCCACAGTGCTTAGATAGAACCAGGAAATTAACCATGTCGGGCATGATAATATTTCCTTAAAAGCCTGACATGCTTTCTTTGATGCCGAGAGTTATCAATTTCTGCTAGGAACTTGTTTCTGTCATGAGGAGGTGTCTTAAGGGTTTTGTTTGTTTTGTTTTTTGTTTTTGTCTTTTCCATTTATCTCACCCCCCAAAAATAGAAGTGGTCTCTGCCTGAATGCTCTTCTGGGAGAGAAATTGTTGAATGGGATGTGGACATGCGGCACAAAGAAGAAGAGAGACCAGTTCTGTCCCCTCAGTACCTTGATTTCTTCCTACCACTTTCCTGTTGTTGTAAAACATATTCTATAAAATGTATGTGCTCCAGCCCACCCTTATCCCAGTGTCACAGTGGGGAAAAAGAACTCTAATCCATCCTGGTTGTTGCTTTCTAAATGCTTCTGACACAATCTGGATGTCCTTATCAAGGTAGTTTTATTAGCTAAGATTGTGTTTTGTGTTGATCAATTAATCTTCCATGATACGTTAAGAAAAAAATGAATATTTCATTTAGTATCTGAGGTTCCCAGAAGTTGAGAGGCATATGAAAACTTTAGGGAGGGTTCGGCAAAGAAAACGAGTGAAATTGAACAGACTTTTAAAAATTAAGTAAAAATATTGGGGCGCCTGGGTGGCTCAGTCGTTAAGCGTCTGCCTTCGGCTCAGGTCATGATCCCGGGGTTCTGGGATCGAGCCCCGCATCGGGCTCCCTGCTCGGCGGGAAGCCTGCTTCTCCCTCTCCCACTCCCCCTGCTTGTGTTCCTGCTCTCGCTGTGTCTCTCACTGTCGGATAAATAAAATCTTTAAAAAAAAAATTAAGTAAAAATATTGAGTGTTGGAATATTTAGCCTGCAAAAAGCAGGGTCAAGAATGCATTCACATTTCAGGAATGAGATCACTTATACTACAGACAATGGTGATGAACCACGTCAGATATATCATGATGAGCACAGGAGAAAAAAGGATCAGATTCTAAGATAACGGATTTGGCTTACATGGAATGAAGACTTTCCTTACTCTTAGGCTTGATGAACCAGGGGACATACTTACTTGGGTGTACCTTAAAAACAGGAGAAATTCTTCTCTACCTGGGATACCTGAGGGCATTTAAAGAAGCATACGGTGTAAGTTTTTATTTTTAAAGAATAGATCCTAGGGGCGCCTGGGTGGCTCAGATGGTTAAGCGTCTGCCTTCGGCTCAGGTCGTGATCCCAGGGTCCTGGGACCGAGTCCCGCATCGGGCTCCCTGCTCGGCGGAGAGCCTGCTTCTCCCTCTCCCTCTGCCTCTGCCCCTCTCTCTCTCTCTTTCTCTCTGACTCTCATGAATAAATAAATAAAACATTTTTTTTAAAAAAAGAATAGATCCTAGATTGAAAGAGTTGTAATTGAAAAAAAATTATTTGACCACATCCATAGGCAATAAAGAAGCAACTATATGAATAACAATTAGGCTTAAATCTCAAACTACTACCTAATCTTATTCTGTGAAAGAAGACTGTGAGTTCTTAGGTAATTGTTTTCTTCATCTGCTTTAGGTTTCATAATCCTCTCATTGTTTTTAATGTGTTAAAGTATGTTTATTAAAGTATTAATGAGAACAAAGCCATACTGATTAAAAACAAAATTATTCATTTAACCTTTTGATATCATGAAATGGAAGGTAGGTTCTACTGTTGGAAGATGAATCCTGCATGTCTAATAAGTTGTTTGCTGTGTGCCTGGTTTTGTTTCTTTTTTTTTTTTCAATAGTTTATCCTAGATCTGTTGAAGTTACTGAATTTTTATGACGTGAAACTGTTTTTTAAATCATAAAAGCAGTTTATCCTAAGAGCTCCAGGCAGAGCGTATCTTCCCTAGTGATTTTTATAGCATCTAATTAATAAATAAATATGCAGCTGGCTAGGCAATGAATATTAAGAGTTGGTTTTGCTTTTCATCACCCTTTATAATTTTTAGAATGTTTGGGATTGAGGACTTTTCCTTTCCTGCTCCCTTCTTCCTGCTCATCCACTTGAATTACAGCCACTCTTCCTTTTCTTTGGAACTATACTTTTAAATCTGTCTCTCCAATGCTGTTTTCTGTTACTGTCATCATGTACTGGATCATGACCTGAGCCAAAGGCAGACACTTAACGACTGAGCCACCCAGGTGCCCCAATATTTTTACTTAATTTTTAAAAGTCTGTTCATATTACTGGTTTCATATGCCTGTTGTTTTTTTGTTTGTTTGTTTTGTTTTTGTTTTTTTGGGAGAGAGAGTGCTTGAATACCTGCATGTGTGAGCCAGCTAGTGGGAGGGGTGGGGAGGAGCAGGGAGGGAGAGGGAGAGGAAGGGCAGAGCCCCACACAGGGCTGGATCTCACACCCCTGAAATCATGCCTAGTGTCGTTTTCTCTTTGCTGTCCATTTTCAGTTTCATGTTTGTCTTATTTTTGAAGTAAGTCAGTGAATTTCAGGTTCGACTCACTTACCTTCTGTCTTTTCTGATTACCTCCCAATCCATGATGTTTTGACTGATACCTTGAAAGCAGATCAGCACTTTTGCCTTGGACTGCTCTGGCCTAGACCTATAGCAGGGTCAGTCCGCTTCGCAGTAGGTCAACCTGTCAGACCCCTCTTGGTCTTCGCCATCACTGCCCAGAGGCCAGGTCCCTGAATCTCACTTACTTCCTGATCTGCTGCCATTCTTCTTGCCCTGTCCCCCTGCCTTTCCTTGTGAGCTCCTTCCTGCCCCTTCCTCAGACTGTAGCCCGCTGACCTTACTAGGATGCAAACCTGCCTTGTCTCTCCCTGTTTAAAATCCTTTACGACCAATTCCTTATTCACAGAATGCAACCCAACTCCTCGGTGTGTCCATTAAAGCCCGTGCCTGAGCTGAACCTTCCCTTCTGGGGTCTGGCCTCCCTCTCCCCCTGCACTACTTACATCCTCCCATCGCCACATCAGACTCAACACTCCAGCGGCGGAAAACAGGCTAAGCAAAGGCATGAAGCTGGAAAATGTAGCCCTGCTTCAGCAATGGAATGACTGACAGTGGCCCATTTAGTGCTGATCACGTTTATGAGGCATTGCCCTGGGCTGGTGCCAGAGCCCCCTGTCCAGCTACGGAATGGTGATGAAGGGATCATCAAGCCATTCTTGTCAAGAGCAGAGGAAAGCTGGTTCTGAAGAGCTTGCCATTGCCCACATCCATACTCTGATGTTCTCTGTTGTTTCTCCCCCTTTCAGCCTGTGATGGTGATCACTGGGGGCCCCACTGCAGCAGCCGGTGCCAGTGCAAAAATGGGGCTCTGTGCAACCCCATCACGGGGGCTTGCCACTGCGCAGCAGGCTTCCGGGGCTGGCGTTGCGAGGACCGCTGTGAGCAGGGCACCTACGGTAATGACTGTCACCAGAGATGCCAGTGTCAGAATGGAGCCACCTGCGACCACATCACGGGGGAATGCCGCTGTCCACCAGGCTACACTGGAGCCTTGTAAGTGACATGCTACTGAGCAGCGTGGCAACGTCCGCTCACCTTTCTTCATTCATGTTGCTGCCACCATCATATTCCTGTTCCTATTGCTGCCTGAAGTCACTGAAAGGGCGGGGCTCCGGGCACAGAGCGGGGAGATCAGCAGTGACAGCCCCGAGATGCTCCTGCTGTTTGGCTCTCGAACCTCAGACTCCAGCCAGAGTCTAAGGTCCAGCTTCCATGCTTTCCTTTGAGCAGGGCAGAGATAGAGAGGACCAGACTGTTGCATTGAGTGCTAATATTGGGGGGTTGTGGGGGCAGATTTGAGGTTCTGCTTCAATTGCCCCACAATTGCGTTTACTGTTAATGGTCCATGTTGTTCTGCTCTTGTGTGGTGCCTATTTAACCAGATAAAGCTGTGTGGGTTCAGTGCCATACAAAAAAGAAAAAAGGGAAGATGTTAGAGACAGTCGGTGGTAAAAGGTTAACTGGGTTATTTAATGACTGTGGATACATACATTGCTTTGTGACCGTAAAAGAAATGTATCACATCTGTGTAGGATATGTGCACACAGGTAGTTTAATTCTTTCTGGGTACAACTGAAGCAACTTCTTAACCTCCACTACTTTATTTTGTGCGAAGGACATTCTTCAGTTGGCTTGTATTAGCAAACAGAGTAAGAGGCAGAATTTGCCAAAAAAAAAAAAATAGGAAATAGAAAAATCTTGTTCCCTTACTGAGAAAATTACACTTGTAAATCACAGAACTAAAACTTGAAAAAATGCGGCTGATTAAGTAAGTACTTCCTGCCAACAGTATTAACAGCTATAAAGTAGAGCTAAAGAAAAAAACTGCATTAGCCTAGAAAGCCCTCATTTTCAGAAGAATGAATGGTCATCTCAAACTACTTAATTGTTAATATTGCTTTTATGGGTTTTTATCAAGGCCACAATTGAATAGGGCTTTGGAAAACTTGGAGCAGTTTTATGGGAGCGCAAACAAGACAATTAAAGGCTTAGAGAAGAAGGTTCATTCATAGGAAAAGGGTGGGGGCTAAGGGCATGGAAAATGATGAGCGTCAAGAAGAGAATGTTGAAAATGGATTATGAAGAATATGTGTACAAAGCAGGGGATGTGCAAACGTTTCCGTCTCCTCTGAGGCTGGAACAAACCCACAAGCAAAAGCAGACTTCAGATGTAACACAGGAGCTTTATAATAGTTACATGGAAAGTTCCTGTCACCAAGGAACTTGGTGTTTGGCTGAAAAGAGTCATCCTTGGTGCTCTCAGATAGGACACATTCTCTTCAAATTGAAACAGTTTTATTAGAAAATACCCCAAAAGAAAGGAAAGGCCTAGACCACCCCTCAAAGACCTTTCTAGCCAATGTGACTAATGCTTTGATGTTGATGAAATTAAGAATGTTGAGCAGAGAAAGCTGTCTGTTTTAGGGCCCTGGGTGCTGCTGTGTCTGTGAACCTGAGGGTCGTGTGGTTGGGTAAATAATGATATCCTTTGTCACACATCAACTCCTCAGCTGTGAGGATCTTTGTCCCCCTGGCAAGCATGGGCCACAGTGCGAGCAGAGATGTCCCTGTCAAAATGGAGGAGTCTGTCATCACGTCACTGGAGAATGCTCTTGTCCTGCTGGCTGGCTGGTAAGCTCCCTTCCTCCCCTCCCAAAGTCACCTATTCCAGGAGGCTCAAGTGAAAACACACTTGGAAGACTTTAGCACAAAGGAAAGTTACGCTGATGGTTAAAGATTGCAAAATTGGAGATGGCTGACCGTTTTCAAAGCTGGTGTCCTTCAGTCCAGCTTCAGGCAGAAGGCAATTAAATCTTGATGTGCACTGAGGGTCCTCATGGAAAACATAGTGGCCATCTGTCCTGCACTTTCCCTCAGGACAAAAAAAGGGAAATATCTCATCACATGTGTGACAGACAATGCTGTCAAATACTGAAAGTATCTAAATATAGGTGTACCTCGGAGATACTTTGGGTTTGGTTCCAGACCTCTGCAATAAAGCGAATATCATAATAAAGTGAGTCAAATGAATTTTTTGGTTTCCTCCTGCACATAAACGTTGTTTTATACTGTACTGTAGTCTATGAAGAGTATAATGACATTATGTCTAAAAAACCAGTGTACATACCAAAACAATTACAGGGTTAACATCAGAGATCACAACGAACATAATAATAATGAAAATGCTTTGCACATATCGCAAGGATTACCAAAATACGACTCAGATACACGAAAGGAATAAATGTTGTTAGGAAAATGGCACTAGTGGACATGCTCAATGCAGGATTGTCACAGACCCTCAATTTATTTAAAAAACAATATACCAGTGAAGCAGAATAAAGTGAAATATGTCTATAATTATATTGTTTATATAATTAAGTTCCATGGATCACTGTTGTTCTTTGAGAACATTATTCTCAACAGAGTAAGTGTTATGTGAAAATTATCTAGTCATGTACATCCAGAGACACATTGAGGTGAACCCATTTACCGAGTATTGCAGAGCTTCTCAAAGCCTTTAGTATGAAAATCCAAGAGGAGCTGTAACTCACCACATTTCCCAAACTTTGACCATGTCACACCTTCTTTATGTAGTATGTCACAGGCTTGGTGTTACAAGACACACTCAATGTCAAAGCTCGTTCGCCAACCAGATTTCTCTGAAACCTGGGAATGATACTGATCCTTACCTGCATTGGCTTGTACGTACATGTGCTTGAAGGCACAAAAGTGAATGACCAATGTCTGTTTCCTTCATTAACAAATAAAATTTAAGAGAGCAATTTACTTCACTATCACCTGCTATCTCCAGGAGCTGTAGTGAAGCTGAGTTTGTAGGATCATAACAGACTTCCTAATTACCAAATCCAGTGATGACCCTTCTGTTCTCATGCTGCTTGATTTCACCAAAGCATATGACCCCGTTGCTCATCCACCTCCCTCTTTCATAATCTTTTTGTCCATGTCTCTGCTAACCCTCTACCTCTGTTACTGAAGATCTCTTTTCCTAACCCGCTTCTTCTACATTCTGCTTTATTACAGTATTTCCTAGGTTTCAGTCTTACTCGTCTTCTCTTTTCTCACTATAAATCTAGTCTGGAAATCTCACGCAGATCCATGGCTTTAACGGTCATCCTGTGATTTTTCTAAATCTTGGCCTTCCCTCACCTGAGTCCAGACATGTATTTGTCACTATCCTATTAGACGCTCATCCTAGATGACCTGTAGACATGAAGCCACCCTCTGATGGGGCTACACCCAAGCTGGAGCCTTAGGAACCAGCTCTGGGATGGAATGGGTCCGCTAATGCCCTTGTTGTAGTCCTGAAGCAAAGGAGAACTGGAGTCCACTTCCCAGTGAGAATCATGGGAAGAAAGGGAGAACTCAAGATGTGAAGGCCACGGAGACAAGTAGAAAAGAAATATCAGACCCAAGGTGAGAGTTAGAAAGGTAAGCAAATGAGACAAGATTTGGCTCTAGAGGCAGAACCTGGAGAAACTCCATGAAGCAATGGAGTCAGAGTCAGGGGGCCCTTTATTGAGTGCCTGATGAGGGGGTGAACAAGGGAGCTGTTGAGGAATGCAAGCCCATGAAAGTCAGTGTTAACAGAAGCAAACTTGTCATACACCCAAGCTTTTCTTAAGGTACTCCTTTTTGGATTTTTAAAAATCTTAGTTAAAACCGGCATTTCTTTCTTAGTTACTTGAAATAGTGAATTATCTTTCACTCATTCTCTTCTTCATTTCTTGTGTGCAACCTTTTGCCATGTTGGCCGTTGTTTGGTCCTTGGCAAGGGAAGGATTTTGTTGGGGCAAGAGAGTGTCCAGAGTATCCAGAGAGCTCCATGTTGTTTGGATGAAGAGCTGTAGGCATGCTACTCTTGGTACTGTTGTGTAGACATTGTTGGTAGAGTTGCCTCATCTTGAGACTGAAGCTTTCTTCTTGATTGGGGTGGTTATGATGTAGGATAGTGGCAATCACAGGCTTGGACCGTGAGTTCCAGCAACTGGGTGGAAGGATCCATCAGCCAAGTGGAGCCTCCCCTCCACCACTTTCTCTATACTCTGGGCCCCCTACCTTGACAGAAGTTTCTTATTGAATGCTTCAGGTCATTTCTCAATCTGCATAGCTTAGCTTCTAATTTATACTTCTTTCTACAACATTCTATTTGTGCTGTCTCTCTAGGTGCTTTTCAAAGATGAATATATATCCTTTTACACATACACATGTATGTATTTCAACTCATAAGAACAATGTATTATTTAAAGCTATTTGCTCACATTAATCTTCATTCATAAACAATATTTCAACAGCATCTCTGAAGCTGATGTGGGACCATTATAAATGTGGCTAGAGTCAGCCCCTGAGAGAATGCGAATTTTCACCCAAACTCCTGCTTACCACAAGTTGACCCTTGGCATACTATTTTTTCAGGCATCTTGATAGTTACGCTAGAATGGAGGGATCAGAGCTATTTTTGCATCTATTCCCCCCACCACATTGTGAACAAATTAAAGGTTGTGACCTTATCTTTGATTCTCAGAGCTTAGCTCTATGCCTGACACATAGATGATTTTCAGTGAGGCATTGATTTGAATCATCTCTCAAAGGCTTTTTCGGTTCCAAGAGTCTGTGGAAGAACTTTCCCTGTTTGTAGATAGCTAGAAATCACCAGAGGAGACTTAATTAGCACACCAACTGCCTTTGTGGGTAGCCAGGAGTTAGAGGAAATGTATTTTCTTACGCTATCCAGAATAAACATTTACAAAACCATCTGGTGTTCGCTAGCCTCCAATTTCAGAGTGCCCACAGTCTGCCTTTTTTTAGAGAGAAGAAGGACAAAGCAACAGCTTGCAACAGTTAAAAAAAACAGTTTAAAAATCCCTGTTATTTGGGATATGTTGTTTGTGCTAACAATAACTCCAATAAACAGATGATAAGCTACAAGCCCATGTTATATAGCCAAGTGAAGTAGAAAATCATAGAGTATTTCACTGACTTATTGATACTTATTCTTATAAACATAGGATTGGAATAAATATGACAGTGCCTGACAAGATGGACAGCCTCTAGGGTGAGGAGACATGTCCAAGTTACGCTCTTGATTTTTCTTCCCAAGAAAGAAGCTTTCCTGTTGATCTTGGCCCAGCAATGTTTGTTCAACCTGCTGAAAATAAAAGTGTTTTTCTTCTGAAATAAAACATCTAGGTTCATTCTTACAGGGCTACTGTCTTAGGCGATGTTACTGTTAATTCAGGTACACAAAATTTCCATCTCATGCTCCATTATGCCTTATAAGAAATAAAAACAGTGATAATGTATATTTTCTTTAGAACATATGGCAAAGCATTTGGATATTCCATTTGCACCAGATGTTGCCCTTTCTGTAATGGATGCTCAATAAGTATTGTTGGCTTATTGTACATGTAAGGACACACGGAAGAACACTTAGGAGGATTTATAAATTCCTTAGGCTACCATAATAATTTCATGTAACTTTATCTTAAACTTCAGTTTTTTAATATGGGTATTTCTTAAGGTTATTCTGCCATCTTTGAACGTATCTTGAGATATAGGCTTTCCAATTAAATAAGTCCATTTAAAATTTCTAACATTTTTAAGATGATGAACGGAGTGCATGTGTTCTAAGATCCCCTTCATCTAATTCTCTTGCAGCCCTGTTCCCCTATACCTTCCTCCCTTTCTGTTTCCTCTCTTCTTTCCCTCCTCCTCTGGCCCTTCCCTGGCTGGAGGCCCATGTAATTTTCCAAGTCTCTTTGAATGCAGGGCACAGTGTGTGGTCAGCCTTGCCCCGAGGGTCGCTTCGGAAAGAACTGTTCACAAGAATGTCAGTGCCATAATGGAGGGACGTGTGATGCTGCCACAGGCCAATGTCATTGCAGTCCAGGATACTCAGGGGAACGGTAAGGGAGAGTCTTGTCTTTCTCTGACTGCTTGTAATGGCATGGAAGGAAAGCTCAAAGAGCCCAGGGAACACCTTTGCTACCACAAAGTAGGCACATGTCTGTGACTGTTCTGTAACATTCCAGAGGTATCTATAAAGTATCAGTGTGTTTGACAGATTATGTTCCAACTCAGTGTGTAGAAAGCGAACCATAGACAGCAAGGGTGAATTGAAGATACAGAGAAAGCATTCAAAAAAATAAATAAAATATCAGCTATCCAGAACCCATGATGAATATGTCAGGCTCAACAGTCCAGTGGTTGGACAGTCATTTCAAAGACCAAAACTTTTTATATGTTAAACAATTTTTGATAGATTTCAAAAGTGGATGTGTACCTGGTTATCTTTAGCAAGTATGTGGGGCATAAAGTTACCATCTTATGATTCAGTATTCTATTAAGAGCGCCGTGAATTGTGTAAGACTGTTGAATCACAGACCTGTACCTCTGAAACAAAGAATACATTATATGTTAAAAAAAAAGAAGAAGATAATAGGAAGAGTAAAATGAAGGGGGGGAAATCAGAGGGGGAGACGAACCATGAGAGACTATGGACTCTGAGAAACAAACTGAGGGTTCTAGAGGGGAGGGGGGTGGGGGGATGGATTAGCCTGGTGATGGGTATTAAAGAGGGCACGTTCTGCGTGGAGCACTGGGTGTTATACGCAAACAATGAATCATGGAACACTACATCAAAAACTAATGTTGTAATGTATGGTCCTTAACATAACATAATAAAATTTAAAAAAATTTAAAAAAAAGGGAAGAATATTAGTCATTTTCCCATGCAGTAGTGACCAAAGAAGATCCGATGGGATTTCTAGGGCTCACTGGTCCCACATGAAATAAGAGCGAATGCGTGGCTGTGCTCACGTGACTCTTCCACCAACTATCATTTTTCATATTAGATAGTAAAGTGTTACCACAGACGGCTTTGATCACCTTACACCTTTTAATTTGCTCTTTCATTTCTTACGTCCTGAAAGACCAGATAACCCAGCTTAGTGGCTGTGTGTGTAAAATTAAAGAAAAAAGACTGGAGAGGTAGGGGACTATACTGGCTCAAAACAAAGATTTGTGGAACCTGTGTCCTTAGACACATCCTTATGGGTAATATTCAAATAATAATTTTACTCTCCTTTGGCGTTGTTATCAGGATTGAATACGTACATTAAAGCAGTTATAACTGTGGAAGCTTACAAACATTAATTCTTATTAGACTTGAGTGATTTCCCTGAACTGTATAAATACCAGCAATTATCAATTTGAGTGATGTCTAGGAACTGAATAAAAATTAGTTATCATTAATTTTTAGTGAGATCCATGACCTAAGAATTTCTTCAACCTTCCTCCCACTCCCAGCTTAGAATTTCTTGTTAAATTTATTTCTCAATAATTTGTATTTTTTGGAAAATCTCATTTCTGTTTCTAATTGGCTATTTCAGGATAAAGAAAAACTTGATTGTGAGTGTTTTTTATTTAGCCTCTCTACCAAAATTTTAAATTAATTCTAATGTTATTTTTAGCAAATACCAGTTATTGCATCATTTACAAAAAAAAGATATTTGCCTCTACTTTTCAGTATTTATAATGATCATTTCATTTCTTGAAATGATTGCATTAATTTAAATCTTTAAATCAGTGCAGACAGATAGAGGTCAAAGCAGAAATTCCTGTCTTGCTCTTAAATGTATTGAAAATGGTTTCAGTGTAGTTTCATGTTTGTTACTGGTTTTTAGTAAACTTCTTTGTGCTTAAGTGCTTTTTAAAATCCCTGTTTTTATTAGGAACTTCTGTTAGTAGTATCTGTTTAACTTCATTAGGGCGCCTGGGTGGCTGGCTCAGTTGGTTAAGCGACTGCCTTTGGCTCAGGTCATGATCCTGGAGTCCCGGGATCGAGTCCCGCATCGGGCTCCCTGCTCAGCAGGGAGTCTGCTTCTCCCTCTGACCCTCCTACCTCTCATGCTCTCTGTCTCTCATTCTTTCTCTCTCAAATAAATAAATAAAATCTTTAAAAAAAATAACTTCATTAAAAGGCGTTTCGTCTTTTGTTAATATAGTTATATATTTTACATTTAATTTTTTGGTGTTACAAATTATCAACACCCTTCAGAGCTTGGTTTTTGTAACATAGGGCTTCTCAGAAAGTTTTTGTGACCTACATCCTGGCTTATGGTTGTGTTTTGGATAGATGTTGTTAGATGAGTTCTGGACTTACTATTTTATTTAGAAAGATGGGTCGGCAAAGGAGAGGCATGGGACCAAGCAGAATCCCAAATAATAGCTTTGTCTAATATTTTAGGGCACAAAAAAATTAAATACAGTTGACCCTTGAAAAACTCCGGGGTTTGGGGCACTGACCCCCCATGCAGTCAAAAATCACATGTAACTTTGTCTCCCCCAAAACTGTTTAGGAAGCCTTCCTGATAATATAGACAGTCAATTAACACATATTTTGTATGTTATATGTATTATATACTGTATTCTTACAATAAAGTGAGCTGGAGAAAAGAAAATGTTAAGAGAATCATAAGGAAGAGAAAACATATTTACAGTACCGCATGTATCAAAAAAATCTGCACGCAAGTGGACTTTTACAGTCCAAACCCGTGTTATTCGAGGATCAGATCTGTAACTGTTTTTCTTGTCCTCTCACAGTTTAAGTCTCAAATTTGAGGCAACACAGAAAATAACAAACATGTAAGGCAAGCTTATACTCATCGGATTTAGAATGCAGGGAAGGAGAGTAACAGCTGATTTCCAGGTGAATTTTAGATTAACTATTGTTTTGCTAGTGAACTGACGACATGATTTCTGTTTTCAATTATACCATCCCCATCTGGGTTCTAGACACAGCATACACACACACACACACACACACACACACACACACACACACACTGACAACATGCACATTCATCACTACGATAGGGAAAAATGAGTAGCTGTGGGGCAGTTGGTGGCAGGAGGTGTGGTGAAGGAAGCTCTGAGGGCCTGGGGTCTTGGCATTTCCCTGTTTTGAGAAGTCAGCGGAACTCGATCCCTGAGGTTAGACCAGAGCACTGCTCCCCGGAGGAGCAGGTACCACCACAGGCAGCTACCAGCAAAGCATTCCCAGGATGTGGGGACGGCCCTCCCAGCCAGAGTGAAGACAGGACAAACAAAACAGACACCTTGTAGGCAGTCAGAGTAACTCATGGGATGCCCAAATAACAGTCTTGGGGGTCTGTGGAAAGGTGGAGAGGACATTGTGGTGGGGAAATGTAATGTGGCATGGTCAAGCAAGAGGGAAGAGAGGGTGGTTTCCAGAGCCTCACAGAAATTCCTCTGAAGGGGTTAACAGAGTGTTCTTCATGCTAATAGGTTGCCATGGAATTGCTCAGGCCTTTGGGGTCCAGGCACATAACTGGTGCTCCCTAAGAGTGAGCTGGAGGGAGAGATCCGTGCCTCAGGCATGCTCCCTGTTAAGGTGAAGGCAGGACGGTCTGGCCATTCCTGTGTTCCATAGAACCTGCAGTAAAGAAGGAATGAGTGTCAAAGGAGGTAAAGTCAGACCTGACAGACAGGAATTGGGGGGATGCAGCATTAGTCTCCAATGGGGGAACTTTCCTGAATCTAGGATTGTGGAAAAGTTGGCTATTTTCCAGCATTCTTTCTGTTTCCCCCAGAGCAGCAGTTCCAGATGCTTGAAAGGCGGGCAGCTGATCCATCGAGCCCAGGTTTAATGAGGAATATGATTCTTTCACACTAAATCATAGTTTGTTTGGCCCAGTTATTCCAGGCACTCTGGGGAGGGACATGCTCAAAAGGACCAGGGGGAAAGGAGCTGCTACCCTTTGTATGCTAACTCCCTTTCCTTTCCATCCATTTGTAATAAGATGCAACATAATAATCGAAATGGTATTAAAACAAGCCTGTGACCCTCATTGGTTTGGGAATTGGTGTCATATTTTATTATCTCTACTTAAAGCATATCCATTTTTTTTCCAATTCCAGAGCATTATTCAAAAACAAAAATAAAAAAATAATAAAAACAAACAAAAATATATGTGTGTGTGTGTGTGTGTGTGTGTGTGTGTGTGTGTATGTATATTTCCACTGTGGCTGATATTTTTTGCTCTATCTTTATTAGCCTCTCTGCCTTCTCTCATAAGAAAATCTATTACCTCTTTTACTAATTCCTAGGATAGCTTTTTTGTTGTTGTTCTGCTTGGGACCACATAAACAACCTTAAGGGCATAAAATTCACTGAGAAATAATGCTCTTTTGGATAAAGGGACCAAAAAGGGAGATAAGTCTGTTTGACAAAGACTTTTAACTCTGCTAACCTGAAAGGTATAAGCTACTTTACAATTACTGTTTTTTTTAAACTTTTTCTTTTTATTTATTTGAGAGAGAGAGAGAGATAGTGCATGTGCAAGAGAGAGAGCATGAGCTCGGGGTGGAGGGCAGAGGAAGAGAGAGGGAGAAGCAGACTCCCCGCTGAGCAGGGAGCCCAACATGGGACTCGATCCCAGGACTCTGAGATCATGACCTGAGCGAAAGGCAGATGCCTAACCAACTGAGCCACCCAGGCACCCCTGCTTTTATTTTCGAGATGGAAAAAGTCTCTTTCTAGAAAGATATCTTCTACCTTGGTAGATGGAAGTAGATGTAACTATTATTAACAGGATTTTCTTACATGCGCAACTCTGGTGAAAAGGAAATGAGAATATGAATCAAGCTTTATGCGCTGGCTACTTTAGTAAGGGAAATTCAAATGGCTTTTTGCCATTTATAATACAATACAAACTAGTAGTATGTTTTATTATAGGTTCAAAAGGTAAATATGGGTCAGGACCAGCTATTATGGATTTTGTTTTCCCAAAGAAAAGGAAGTCTCTGCCAAGATAGGATAAAATAGACACTCTGCTTGCCTGTCATTTGGCAGCAGACGTTTTTCCAGGCTTCCGATCTATACTCGGTTCACCCACTTTTAGAGCTAAGCTTTTTACTAAATTGAAATCATGGATCCCAAAGCTTAATGGTTGGGTTTGTTTTCAAAATCCATACAAGAGAGAGAAAGCAATGTTATTTTACCTTGTTTACCTTTTCCTTTTTGGTACTGAATCACGAGAAGATCTGGACAGACAGGCTGCAAAGATCTTACCAGCCTTTAGCAGAGCCATGACCAGGCCCGATGATTGTACCTCAGCATTTCTTTCTCTGAAGTTTACATAATTAAGGAATAAACTAAGTGACTTGGCTTATTAAGACTTCTTACAAGTTAAAAATAGAGTGCCTTTTAAAAATACTCTGGTCTAAAAATAGGTATACTTCCGTGTAATTTTAAAGCACACATCTGATTTTATGCTAAATGGTAGGCAGTTACTATAGAACTTTGCTAATGGCTTGTTGAGCAGTTGACTTGAACATTTTGCCTATTGACAAACACATGTAAAGATGTCTTAAGCATCGGGAGAAACCAAGTTTACAAGAGGCCCCTTTCCTTGTCTATATGCTAGAGCCAGGGTTAACCAGAGAACAGTCAAAGGGATCTCAAGATTCAGCTTCTCCATTTAAATAGAATCCCACCCAAACTTGGTATTGTTACTCATCACACCCTATTATTAAAACTATGCACAGCCTTCTGGAAAATGTTTGCTTTTTAGCCCCTTTGCTACTGCCTTTAGGTACCCTTGAATTCATTATTATGCACTTGCTGCTTGCATTATACTGATCTGAAAAAATGCAGTGCTGACCTACATTACCGACCATGAGTCTGGCGTGACTCGAGAGCCACACGGGAAGTGTCTGCTGATTCCGATCCACACATTGTATGGTACTTATGGCAGGCGCTCCGCTAGACGAGACCCCGTCTCCCTCTCCCTTGGCAGGAAGTGCTCCTTCTGTTGCAGGAGGCTCCGTGAAGTCACCTTGCCAGGTCAAAAAGAAACTTGGCTGGCCTGACAACTGGTCATGCATTCTATGGAGTGATGATAATTTTCTCTTCTCCATCACAGTTCCTCCCAGCCGCTTAGCTGCCCACCTGATCCAACTTATCCAGAGCCTGTCCTTGCTCTGGGACCAGACTCTAATGTCATTTTTTAAAAGATAAAGTGAATTTTTGAGACCTGATATTTTTTCCTTGCCATTTGTCAGCCCTTCTTATAAAGAGAGGTCAGTATCCCCCTTAATAAAAAATTTTGTGCTAGGAAACTCCACGTGTCCGTATACCCCCTGACAGGAGTTCCCCAGGTGGAATCGAAGAAACTTGCTTGCAATAGTTCTGACTTCCCAGATCTAAAGAGGACTTTGTTTATTAAATACATAACTTTCTAAATGAGGAGTAATTTTTGCCATTCAGCTTTGGAAAGAGCAGACACGTGGCTGAGATTAAATATTAAAGTCACCATGAAAGCCAGGAGAATTAACATTGTTGGAAATTTGCTACAAATTTTTCTCTTTGAAACAGGGAAAGCGTCTATTTTAATTTCCTCATTTGGGCCATCACTCTTCTCCCTTTTCTGGTATCCCCCGGTATCTTTCTGGTATGTATATACAAGCATGTATGTATACCCTTAGCAAGCAAAGCACTAGGTGTAAAACATGCTTCCTGTGCCAAGTTCATAATTTTATTTTGGTTTTGTTTTGTTGTTCCTTTGAACAGGCCGTACTGCCATTACTGCGACCTGTAGCCAGAGTAATTCAGCTTTACTGCTTTTATACCCGTAAATAGGACCCTCACTAAAAAATACAGCCAATGCAAAAAACACTTTCAGTTTATACATCACGAAGCCTATCTGAATGGACTGTGTCTTTGTACATGACATTACCTAATCTATCTTCTGCTCCCGCTCCCTGCTTGGTAGGTGCCAGGACGAGTGTCCCGTTGGCACATATGGAGTTCGCTGTGCTGAGACCTGTCAGTGTGTCAACGGAGGGAAGTGCTATCACGTGAGCGGCTCATGCCTCTGCGAAGCAGGTTTTGTTGGTGAGCACTGTGAGGCACGCCTGTGTCCAGAAGGGCTCTACGGCATCAAATGTGACAAGTGGTGTCCCTGCCACCTGGACAACACTCATAGGTGAGGGTTGGCCACCTTGGAAGGATGTGCCCTGTTAAAGTTTGAACGGCAGTGTCCACTGTTTGGAAGGACGGATTGCCAGAGAGATGCCCGCCCTGAGAGCCTTCCTGCCTCTGGGCCATCCTGGGGGAGGAACCACCAAGTCCATGGACAACTTCTTTCTTTAGCGGGTGACAGTCCACGTTAGAATTGGTAGATGGTCACGGGTGGATATTAAATTCTGTTCTTGATGAATGGCCATTGCCAAACATTAAATTTGCTAGGGTTAGTAAAACATTGCCCTAAGAGAGGGATCTGTGGCATTCCCTTAGAAGCAAAGATACAACGAGAGACATGAGTTAAGCCCAGTTTAGCGTGTGAAAATATCACAAAAACAATTCTCGCTGCAGCATCTTTGACTTGACAGCACATCTGTGTAGAAAGGAAGTGTACTGGTGGAAGTTTTATATAAGGGTTTCACATGTGGCTGTCACATGTGAAATATGTTTTCAAAATTGATTACTCTGACCTAAAACTCACAGGGGTCTTTTAGCCCAAAAATCTCTCAAAAAGAATTTAAGAACAGGAAACCATGGTCCCCACCCACCCTACTGTACCTTGTCTGCCCCTGAAAATACCTTTCCACCCCCTTTCTTCCCCTCTCTCCCCCAAGGACCAGATACATATCACTTAGAATTCTGGGCCCCATTTGCAGACTCCAGGAAAAGTTGGGTCTGGCAAAAAGGTAGTGCATTGTATCGCAGTTCACATGTTACAAGAATTACTTAATTGCATTCAGCACAGCTGTTAACTTCATTTATGCTTCTGAAAGATAACTTGTGGCCCCTTCAAATCCTCAAAAGCACAAAAGTTAAATGTAAGCAAAAGCCTGTGGTTGGTCTCTTCTTTAAGCCATTTTTAGGAACAAAAGAACGGACTTTGTACCATGAGAGGGTGTGTGTGTGTGTGTGTGTGTGTGTGTGTGTGTGTGTGTGTCTTTGTGTGCATGCATGCATGCATACTTGGAATACATTTTACTGGGGTATATCAAAGAAGTGCATTCTTGATGTATCTCAAGCAACTTTGCAAAGCTGCTTTAATCAACTTTGGTTTTCTTCATTGGAAAATATTGCCACTCTTTACATGACAAGGTTAAGTAAACCTTTGGGGAGTGAAAATGAATCATCTCTGCAGGGTTTTGTTTGTTTTTCAACTCTCCGATGTTTAAGGAGCTGGCAGGATTAGGAACAAGTCACGAGTTTGGCTACTTTTCCTGCGGTGTTTAAGGCTTGTCCCAGCAAAAGGTAAGCCTCGTGTAGTGACAGCTAAAAACTTTTTAATATCAGAGTGCTGTTTCACTGTATGCAGCCTGACATCAAATAGATTAATAAACCTATGCAAAGGAGTTGTGTTACGAGAAGAACTGGAGACGCAGAGAGAATGTTGGTTGGAATTGTGTACCATGTTCGTAATGGCAAGGTCCCCGAGGACAGTTTTTTTTTTTTTTAAGATTTTGTTTATTTATTTGACAGAGAGAGACACAGCGAGAGGGGGAACACGAGCAGGGGGAGTGGGAGAGGGAGAAGCAGGCTTCCTGCCGAGCAGGAGCACGATGTGGGGCTCGATCCCAGGACCCTGGGATCATGACCTGAGCCGAAGGCAGACACTTAACGACTGAGCCACCCAGGTGCCCCCCGAGGACAGTTATTTGACTGGCATCAATACTATGATAATTTTGACATAGGTCACATGTATGTAAGCATGTATGCTTTACCAAAGAAATACAGGAAATTGACAATCACATAGATCAAAAGAACACTAAAATCTGTCTAATAATGTATAACAAATAACCAGATTAAAAACAATTGACCTAGGAAGTGCTTCCCTGAAAGTTAGTTTTTAAAAAGTAGCTTTTGCAAATAAATAAATAAATAAATAAAATTTAAAAATTAAAAAATAAAAATTAGCTTTTGCAAATTTCTTTTAAAACCAGTTCAGTGTTGATGATACGACTCTGTCTTGTTGAATTCACAATTGGAGCCCCCTGATTCTTGTACCTTAAACTTCAATGTGAAGTTCCTAGAAACACAAGATTCCTTTGAACCAAAAGGCATAGAATCTTTGTATTAATTGAAAAATCTAGCTTGTTCATTTTACCATTTAATCGAGCAAGGAGAGCTTTCTATTATGTAATTCATGATGTGTTTTTCCTAAAACCTTTCATTCTAAAAAAAAAAAACACCTTTCATTCTAATTACTGAGATAACTTATGCAATGCAGACTATTAGTTTATATTGTCTTTAGGTAAACGTTGAGTTATATGAATGTACATATTGACATATTTTGCAGCCACATATCTGGGTTATGGGTTTGTATCCATTAGCTTTTGCTGCATTAAAAAAAAACCCACTGCAAACAGTGGTATAAAACAATGATTATTTATTAGCAGTTGGTTTTTTGCTTGACTAAGCTTGGTAGTTCTTCTGCTTTCCTCCCTGTATTCAGCTAGTAGATCAGCTAGAGGTAGACGGGTTCTAGAATTCCTCCCTCACTTGTCCAGCATCTGGCCGGTCGATGGGTGCCTGAGCCACATGCCTTTAGCAGCTAGCACATTAGCCTGGGCTTCTTTTCATGATGACTGGCTTCCAAAAGCAGCAAGAAACAGAGAAAACGCCAACATGCAAACAAACCTTTGGTTGTGTCGTGTTTGCTATTGTCCCTGCAGACGAAACAGGTCATACAACCAACTACAGGTGCAAAACACTCCACCTCCTGGTAGGAGTTGCCAAGAATTTGTAGCCATTTTTACTTTTGCAATCTATCATAGGGTTGAAATGAATTTAAATATATTTAAAGGATAATCGTGTATTCGATCATAGTGCTATTTTAGAGCCTGAAGACATTCACTGTGACCTGTACCTTTCAGCCAAAAACTAACTTTTATGGTGGAAATGGTTTTGAGGAGCAAAATAAAATTCGAGATTTATTAAGATTCCACATGGGAGATGTATATTAGCTCTTGTTAACAAGTACATTTAATAGCTGTGGGCAATCAGGATGTGCCTATTTGCAAATGCCACATAATTGTCATCACATTTGAGCATTAATAACACCTAAGGAAATGAATAAAAGGAAGTTCGATGACTCGTTCTATTTTAGCCAATATTGTATTGGACTCATAATAATTTTACTCTTAAATGGAAAAATTTACTAAAATGTTTATATCTAGTTGTATATGTGTATGAAGTGATAGGTATTCCTATGTGGGTATCATCCTATTTTCATATGCACAAAGCAACCTGTTCTTCAGAAAGAAAATGAGTAGGAGTGTGTTACCCTTCAACCTCCAATCTGCTGCTTCTAACATCAACACGTAAATCTCATTACCAATTAAGCTGCCTGCATGAGAACCCATCAAATGCCTCCAAAGTGCTCTGGCTTCCTATATCTAATTACAAATTGCAGAATACTAATTTCGGTGTCAATCAGTCTGAGAACCAGTGTGTTGCACTAATATTCACTGGGGGGCATTGAATATCAATTTCTGTGTCTGCCTGTAGCTCAGTCAATTCCCTGTGCCCGAATTGTCTATTTTGTCTCACATTTGTGTCTTCACCAGGAATATGATTTTCTACTTTTTAATGTAAAGTAATATTTTCTACTAAAAGATGTTCTTTTTTAATAGTGTGTCAAAGTAAGGCAAATTACTTTAGCCAATCCATGCTTAAAATATTTCTTTTCCCTTTCTCAAATGTAGGACCTTTCTGAAGTAAATTTAAATTTGTCTCTGCTTTTGCACAATACAGGCTTTTATTGGTCCTGCTAACCAATGCTAAATCCTACATTTTAGCCATTCTTTTTCATATCTAGCCCTCCCAGCAGGCTGTGACCAAGCTTCCTTTTTCTCTTTGGTGTAAAAACAAGCAAATAAATCTAAGTTCAGGTTTGATTCCTCTACTACCTGTGTTGGGCTTTGAATAAATTACTCTTTCTCGGTCACTCTTGCCTCATTTATAAAGTGGGACGATACCCAACACTTGGAATGGCTTGTGAAGATTAAATGAAATACTGTGCACGCGGATTCCTGAGCATGACGTTAACACATATTCAGTGCTCGGTAGACGCAACCTGCTATGCGAGCCTGTGGGTTGACTTACAGTTATCACCAGAAACGTCACGTAAGAGAGTATTCCCTGCAATTCACAGTGGTTCCCGTGCAGCCACAACTTTTGACATTTTAAAAACGAATTCTAGGGCACAGCTTGCCTTTCCATGCAGATGTACAGATTATCATTCAGCGCCACTGGATGACTCAGCGATATGGGGCGAAGCAGATCCATGTGGGAAAGCAGGACTTCAGAGACAGATCCCTCTGTACCTTAAATGCCGTTTTCCCTAACTCACTCGCTCAGTGTTTGCTGTGCGCCCACTGTGGGCCGGGGAGAGGTAACAAAACGTGCCAGATTCTTGCCTTCACAGAGCTCGAGGTCCAGAGGGGAAGGAAGACATGGGTAAAATGGAGAGGCCCAGAATGGGGAAGCAGTATTCCTGGCGTATGGAATAGCCCATGTGATGCCCTTGTATTGGCAACACTCTGTGCTTTTCCCAGCTAAAAGAACTCCATTGCAGTTGAGCATAGTAATAAAGAGAGACTAACGACTAGAGAAGAGGTTGGGAAGTAGGCAGTGGCCAGGTAACAATGGACTGTGGACTGCATTTAGGGTGACTTTGTGTCTAGGGTCACAGGGACGGTTTGGATTAGGGACAGTGATCCTAATAACTCCCTCTTCATTCTTGAAAATGTCCTGGTTTAGACAGTAAATAACACCGTCCCTGTAGCTGTTTTAGACAGCACAGGTTATAGTCTCAGTGTAGTGGGGAGTTTTTGAAGAGCTTTAAGGAGAATGATAGGCTAGCATCTACTTTTTAGGTGACAAGGCATGAGTGAGTGCAGAGGTTGCAAGACGGAAGGCTATCCCGGTTTTCCGAGTCAGAGGGCCTTGACGTCGGGTAGCGTGGTGACGGTGACGATGGAGAGATGGGGTGGAGGCAGGGTACTTTGGAGGCAGGCTATCAGGTCCTAGCGAGGAAGTAGATATGGGAAATGAGGGAGGCGTTCCCGGGAATAACTCTGAAGTTTCTGGTTTAAACAGCTGAGTGGCCTGTGGTGCTAGTGCTCCAGTGGGGTGATTGAGAGTAAACACTGAAGAATGAAGGCCGGAAAGAACTAAGACTCAGAATTTGACATGCCTAAGTCGGAGATGGAGGTGCCGGGTATTTGCTCAAGGAGAGGGGGCAGATGAGCAGATCTGAGTAGGTCTAAGGAGATCGGAGACTCAAACCCTTGCCTTTTAAATCCAAACCTTTTTTATTTTTTTAAGATTTTATTTGAGAGAGAGAGAGAGAGAGAGCCTGAGAGAGTGAGCACAAGCCTGGGGAAGGGCAGAGGGAGAAGGAGAAAGAGAAGAAGACTCCCCGCTGAGCAGGGAGCCTGACATGGGGCTCCATCCCAGGACCCCGGGGATCATGACCTGAGCCGCTGGCAGACACTTAACCGACTGAGCCACCCAGGCGCCCCTCAAATCCAAACCTTCTATACCCAGGAAACCATGTTAAGTGTAGAGTGGTACTTGGGTATGTCTTCATAGCGTGTTCCCTGAGTAATGCTTGTGACATCTGTCACAAGGATGCCTAGGCGATTGATTGTGGGTGCTCAGTTGCAGCGAGGGCGCAAATCGTGCCACCCGCGGGGGTGTGGCTGAGACCCGCCCGTGACACACTAGGACGTCGGGCCGGAGAGGTTGTGTGCTTTTGCTAAGGTACCCAGGTGGTGGGAGAGCTGCTGTTCCATCTCAGCCTTCCCCTCTCCCAGCAAATCCTTCTTTCCAAGAGTAGAAAATCTGTGGATTGTCTCTGGACAAGAGTCACTTAGCACACGGCTGGGTGAGACAGCAGATTCTGTTGTTGGCCGTAGTTACTGGGAGGGGTTTATCTCCACCAGGGGAGGAAGATGGTCTTTCACAGCCTTCCGACTGTGAACAGAGCTGGTTTGATCGTTGACATGTCCCTGTGGTGAGAAGCACATGTGTTTTGCGTGCCACAGAGTGCCCTATTGGGTCAGACTCCCTAGCGCGTGCCTCGGCGCAGCTGATGTGTCCATTTGCTTGGGAACGACAGCTGGCTTCCTGGCCGGTCCATGCAGCTGCTGCCTCAGGTAGAGACCGTTGCTTGGCCACCAGGTACGGAGATTCGAGAACAGAAACAGGCAAGGAAGGTCCGCTGCTTTTGGAGTGCCTTGGACCTAACCCTGGCTAACTGATTTGGTGTTGTGCGCCAGACGGAGTCGTTCTTTAAACCCTCTCATCGAGGTGACCTGTCACTGAATTACAGTGCTTTCGACTTACGAAGACTATAATGAGTTTCAGACAAAAGGAAGCGGTTGTGGTCGTCTTCCGGTTGGAACATGATGCTGATTTCACACCACATTTCTGTGGTACCTATCGGGTTTCAGCCCATTAATTAAATCATAGCAAGCCTGGGAACGAAGTTTAAATTATTGTGCATGGAATTAGCCACCCATTCATTGCTCATGGCTGAAGCAACATTTGCATGGGCCCTGGGTGTCATGTTCACCCGGGAGTGACTTTCTCCTTTCATCCGTGTCTCTCAGCTGTCACCCCATGTCTGGAGAGTGTGCCTGCAAGCCGGGCTGGTCGGGACTCTACTGCAATGAGACGTGTTCTCCTGGATTCTTCGGGGAAGCTTGCCAACAGATCTGCAGCTGCCAAAACGGGGCTGACTGTGACAGTGTGACCGGGGAGTGCACCTGTGCCCCAGGATTCAAAGTGAGTGGCTCTGGAGGAAGGAGCCGCGGGGTACCGTGTGGAGCACAATATAGGACCCTTCCTGAAGTACAGGGAATGTGCTAAGATCTGTCACATCATTAACAAGAAAGAGAATGAAAAGTACTAATAAGAAACAGAAGGAATTATCTTAGAACGATAACTGGAAGGCTGGTAAAACAATAAATGTAGTGTTCATATTAATTTTTTAATTAATATGTGTCATGGAATATGATGTACTTTCATTATTCCTTACATGATTACTTTTTCCCTACATAATCATTTTGCTACATTCTGTAGGCGACAAAGAAATTACTTTTCCAAGTAATTACTATTAACAGTTTTTGTCTCAACTCCACGCAATTTGAAGGCACACCATGTATCGAGTTCGCACTTACTATATATTTACATGCGATGGTTAGCACTATGGAAGTTTTTCAGTGCCTTTGAGAACCTAGACCTTGCAAATATGCCCGTGCGCCAACCGAGCAGAATTTTGCCTAGTTTCTAGGATTTCTTAGCTATAGATTAGGAATCCTTGTTTTAAAGGAAAACAGATTGGTCCTGATTATTTTTTCTCCTTTGAAAGAGGACAGGATTAACCGAAGAAGATGTTGATGATTATTCCAGAGCGTGTAATGTGGGATGAGTAGGTGATAAAGACTCAGAGTTGAGGGGACCTTTACAGGTTTTTCTAACCTATGTCACTATTCTTTGGTGGAGCCCTTGATTTACTCTGTCTTAGGTCTCTTCTGTTTTTATTTTTATTTATTTTTAAAGATTTTCCTTATTTATTTGAGAGGGAGAGAGAGAGCATGAGCATGGGGGAAGGGCAGAAAGAGAAGCAGACTCCCCGCTGATCAGGGAGCCCAAGGCGGGTCGATCCCCATGACCTGAGCCGAAGGCAGATGCTTAACTGACTAAGCCACCCAGACGCCCCAAGTCTCTTCTGTTTTTAAAGGCGATGACCTCCAGCCATCCTCGATAGCCCACTTCTGTGTTTTAGGCTTATTGTCAGATAATAAATTGAATCATGCTGCAGGCAGAGTGTGCGTCCCATTGCTTTGCTTCAGCCACCAATCATATTATATATTATACAAGGAAGGCTAAGAAGCATTACAACTTAATGTATAGTTTATATTTATGTTTATTCATTTATTGACTGTAATTGATAGTTTATTTTTTTATATCTGCTTGTCTGAGCAAGGACAAAAGGGTTTTTTTGTGTGTGTTTTCTAGGAAGGGAAGCTCATGAAGGCAGCAGGCTTTTTTGATTCCCATTTAATACTGAATCCTAAACAGGCAAGCTACCATTGCCCTTGAATCTTTAAAATTTGTATACTGGGGACATTTAGCGACTTTAAAAAATACAAGTGTTAAAATTAGAGAGGGAATATCATTAGCATTGCCAAGATGCATTTTTGTTTGTTTGTGTTGGCTTTATTTCATTCAGTGAAATTGCACGCATTTTCCTATCTGTGCCCGCCTAGGGAATTGACTGCTCTATCCCGTGCCCGCTGGGAACCTATGGAATAAACTGCTCCTCTCTGTGTGGCTGTAAGAACGACGCTGTCTGCTCACCTGTAGATGGGTCTTGTACTTGCAAGGCAGGTAAGTGGGGGAATGAGTGTTTTATCTGCTCTTCATCCTGTTACCTCCTAAAGTCCCAGGGAAGAAACTTTGACTAGGGTTCTAGCTCCATTGGTGCCAAAGTTTAGCGTCCAAACTCGGCCAGCCCCTCGTCCAGGGTGGGCTCTCCTGCTTCTGTGAGCCAAGAAAAGGGGCTCACGTAGGATCTCCAAAGTTGCTGCCAGCCCCCAAAGTCTGGGAGTCTCTGGGCTTTGGGTAAAAGTGAGCGAGCAGACATACACCCACACCCCTAAATTGGCCTGGAGTTGCAGCAAGAAATGCAGCCAAGCACCGATTTTATGCAAAGGCCAAAATGTGTCTATCTGTAGTTGCTACAACAGGCAGGGTCCTGGAAACTCACTGTTCACGGTTCATTGGGTTTGCTTTAAAGAGGGGGTTACTCTTCCAAACACAAACCTTCCTTTACCCTCCTGTATAAAGATGGCGCTTTCCCGACCGGAGCCACACTCGGCATTTCTGCATTGCCTATCACTGCACACTCGAGGTGCCGCGCTCTATAACTTGTCCCAGTAACCCAGGGGTGTCTCTTGCTGCTGGCATCCTTGTCCGATCATGCGGCACAGACAGATTCTGGGTACTTCGGCCGTTGCTGCTGGAGGCTCCACTCGGCAGCGCCACTGCTCTCTGTGCTGGGGCTGGGGACCCCGCTGTGCACCTCCAAAATGTTTCCAAAGGGCAACGTGGCTTGGGGAGGCTGGCGGAAACTCCGTGCTGCTTGTTTCCTGCATGCTCTGGCGTTCTTGTCACGGCAGGCTGGCACGGGGTGGACTGCTCCATCAGCTGCCCGAGCGGCACTTGGGGCTTTAGCTGTAACCTGACCTGCCAGTGCCTCAACGGGGGAGCCTGCAACACCCAAGATGGGACCTGCACGTGCGCACCCGGGTGGCGCGGGGAGAAGTGTGAGCTCCCCTGCCAGGTACGACTGAGCCGGCACCCCAGCTGGGAAGACATGGGTGGGGGGTGCTGGGGGCAGTGTCCGCTCACTGCTGCTGTGTCCCTGGGGTCAGGCATGTGTGTGTGAACCCAACAAAACTATTATAAGAACTGAGGTTTTTGAAGTCACATCGGAGATAAGATCGGAAAAGGGATAGACATGGAAATGGGTAGGTAGCTCTGCGAGAATCACTCCCTTCTTCTCCTTCATCTCTGCCCGGGCTCCCCCCCCCGCGCTTCCCCCCCCCCCCCCGCCACCCTTCCTGCTGTCTCCCTTCCTATACACTCCTCTCTCCGTGGCAACCGATGGACAGCAATTTGTCAAACACCCAGCCTCTGCCTGTCAACTCTCCAAATATTGTGTCTCCATTATCGCGGAAATCCTCCCATCTCTGGTGGAAAGTGGCAGAGGATTGAAAGGGAGTGGGGACGGGTGTCGCAGAAATGCTCATCGAGGTGGTGAGAGGTTCAGAAATGGCCGTCTGTTAAACACAAGTGTGTCTCGAGTCACAGGAATCTCCAAAGATTTCCCTCGTTCAACACTGGCTCCACTCCCCTGACCTACTTTGGAAGTAGTTGTCCTTACAAATCCCATACCGCGTCCTACTGCAGGCAGAGGTTGCAAATGGGACATGTGTTCTATAGTAAACGTGCTGATTTCCCTTTCTCCCTCTGAAGCCCTTGGCCCATTTCTTGCCCTCTTTTTCATGACCTTTTCATCCTCTCTCATTTCTTTCCTTCTGAACCATTAAGCATTCTCTCAGGGATGTGCGTTCTCTGCCTCCAGGAGAGATGGCGAGATGACCCTGTGACGCCCTGAACTGGGCCCCTCGCGGTGGGAGCTTTCCCCTGGGCTTCCTCCTCATCAAGCCACAACCCATTTCCCAACTTTTTTACAGAAATGAACTTCATTCGATTAGTGCTATGATTTTCTTTTAATTGTAGAGCCTCTTTCTTTATGTGAGTCAGGGGCTCCCTTTCCATGAACGAGTAGCATGCCTTGTAAGGAACGCTGAACTACTTTATAAAAATCCTTAGGAACAAGAGAAAAATTTCTTTATGAGTGGTGGTTTATGATAAGGTACAAAGGAGTCTCTTAATTAATGAGCATGTATGCATATATTTGCATATATGCATATCAGTTGGTCTCACCATTCATAGGACTGATCATTATGTTAGACATTCCAACTACAGTTTGAGTGATTTTTAAAACACCCCCTCCTGCATTTGGGGGACTAAACAGACACGGGGAGAGGGGATTATCATGTGTGTGGCTGAGAGATGTTTGGGAGGGGAGGGTCCTGCCTGAGGTCCCTGTTGTCTCTCACTGTGGATTTCCATGACCTTGTCACTCTCTTCCCCACAGGATGGCACGTATGGGCTGAACTGTGCGGAGCGCTGTGACTGTAGCCACGCCGATGGCTGTCACCCCACGACGGGCCACTGCCGCTGCCTCCCGGGATGGTCAGGTGAGCCAGGAACCGCTGCTTGAAATGGGAAACATGCCAACTTACACCTAGCCCTGTTCCTTGCTGCTTTAGAGAAATAAACACAGGTCACCTTTTCAGAGAAGAAATGATAAAACCTCCAATAACAACAGTCACATTTTTACCCAAGAGATACTACTGCGAGACCTAATTCATCTGGGGATGACTTCTTGTTGAAGCATTCAGGAGCAGTTGTCTTGAGCCTTGTTGGAAGGTCCAGCTGTCACAATTCAGGCCAGCAAGAGGCGGGGGACGTGTGAATTGCTATGAAGGGTCTAGCAAGACTTCTGTGGCATTTTTGAGCACCGAGGGAAGAATGATGGAAATAAACCATAAGAATATAACTGAGTTCACCTCGGTGAGGCAAAAATATTCAATATTAATATTAATATGGTTAATATGCAAGTATTAAAATATTCATTGCTAGACATGAAAGTTATAAAACTTGCTTTTTCTTACGATAATACTTAAGTCATAAAAACTCATAACACGATTGAGTACCAATTTTGTAGCCACAAGGTGGAGGTTTCTCCTTATTTATATGGATTCACGGTTCTAGCTAGGAAGTTTATCAGACTACCAGTGGTCTTGGAAAATGAACCCTGTTTTTACTCTTGATAAATGGACTCGGGAGAGAGCACTGAATGCCCAAGCAAATTGGGGTCCTGCTTTTCTGTTTCTTTCATGAGGTCAAACCTATTCTAAAAAAACAAAAACAAAACCTTACAAAACGAATGGAATTTTAAATGCTTATTTAGAAAAATCACAAATGGAAATGCACCAAGAAAGTTACTGAACATTGGGATGAGTAGACTGGGTATATTTATGAGCAATTTCTTCTGAAAGTAAAATAAAAGGTTGACTGCTGATACGCCAATTGAGAGTCAGGTACTGTGGAACTTGGGTATGTGTTAGAGGTGGTTAAATGAACCCAAACTTTCTTTTACAATTCTCATTCATAGTCATTTGTGTATATGTGTGTTTGCGTGTGTATTTGTATATGTTGTATTTATATCTAAATATATGTGTATCTGTTCTCAGAGAAGAGAAGGAGATTTGTAGGACACAACTGTATCCCTACTGATGATGCTTCACTATCTTCCAAAATGGTTTTTTAGCTTGTCTTCTAAAAGAGAAACTGGTAGTAACAAGCCAAGTGTCCTCTTTAGTGATGGTTCATATTTTGAGAAGGTGGATCTTTCAGAGGAGACTCTAATACCTCTATGCCAGAGAAGTCACATTTAGGAAATTATGGGGTCAGGGTGGTCTTACCTCTTAGCAAAAATGCGTAAAAAGAAGAACGGAGACATAATAATAAGTAATGCTTATTGGATGCTTATGGCAGGCTCACAGCAACTCTGTGAGGTAGAAACTACCATTTCGTCATTTTTATAGATGAAGAAACTGAGGCACGGACAAGTTGAGTGTCTTGATCAAGGCCTCAGGGTCAGTAAATGTGAGAGACAGGATTTGCACTAATACCCTCCTATTGCGTCTCCAGCTCTCTTCATGACTGCACCCTCTGCCATACACAGACTTCTTCCAGAATATGCTGGGGGAAGGGGCAGTTGGGCTGAGATTAATTCTGAGCATGGATGAGGACTTCTGAGAATTATATGAGAGGACCGTGGTGATAAATGCTGATAACCAGCAACTTCTTCATATAAGTGCACGTGTGTGTGTATGTTTATATGTGTGTGTATACATACCTAGGGAGAGAGAGAGAGAGTATATATGCATATGTTCATATGTATGCATTTATATATAAAGAGACAGAGAGACAGAGGCAGAGAGAGAGACAGGAAGATATACCATAGAATTCACCTCTTTAAATTGTATAATCCAGTGGTTTTTAGTATAGTCAAAGAATTATACAACCATCATCACTACCATTTTTAGAAGATTTTCATCATCATAAAGAAACTGCAGTAGTACTTATTAGCAGTTATTCTCCATTTACCCCCAACTCAACACTAGGCAAACTCCCCCCCCCACCCTAGGCAACCACTAACCTACTTCCTGTCTCTATAGATTTACCTATTCTGATATTGTGTGGATTCATGCAATATGAGGTCTTTGGCTACTGGCTTCCTTCTCTTGGTTTGTTTTCAAGGTTCATTCCTTTTGGAGCGTATATCAGTACTTCATTCCTTTTGACTGGTGACAAATATTCCATGGTATGGGTAAACCACATTTTATTTGCACATTCATCAGTTGATGGACATTTGGGTTGTTTCCACTTTTGGGCTATTTTGAAAAATGCTGTTAAGGACATTCATGTACAGGTTTTTGTGTGGATGTGTATGTTTGGTATATAAGTTAGGTGTGGAATTGCTGGGTTGTGTGATAACTCTAAGTTTAACCTTTTAAAGAATTGCTACCCTGTTCTCCAAAGCAGTTACACCATTTTCCACTCCCACCAATAATATGTGAGGTGTCTGCCTCTTCACCAAAAATTTTTACTATCTGTCTTTTTGATTCTAGCCATCCCAGTGGTGTGAAACGTTATTTCATTGAGTTTTTGATTTGCATTCTCCTAATAAATGACAGTGTTAAGTGTCTTTTGTATTTAATTCGGCCATCTGTATATATTTTTCCAACCATCTGTATATCTGATATCTATTCAGATACTTTGCTCATTTTTTAATTGGGTCATTTTGTGTTTTTATAATTGAATTGTAATATTTCTTTATGTATTTTATATCTATGCTCCTTATCAGATATATGATTTGCAAATATTTTCTCCCATTCTGTATGTTACTTTTTCACTCTCTTCACGATGTCTGTTTCTGCAGAAAAGTTTTTATTTTGACGGAGTTCAAAAGGTTTTTTTCTTTTGTTGCTTGTGTTTTCGGTGTCAAATCTATGAAACCATTGGCTAGTCCACAGTCACAAAGATTTGTACCTGTGTATTCTTCTAAGCATTTTATAGTTTTAGATTTTACATGTAGGTCTTTGATCCATTTTGAGTTTGGTTTTATATATGGTGTGAGGTAAGGGTCCAACTTCATTCTTTTGCATGATTTGTTCCAGCATCATGTGTTGAAAAGATCATTCATCCCCTCCCCGCCCATGACCTGTATTGTCTTGATACCTTTGCCAAAAATCAACTGACCATAAGTGTGAGAACATTTATGTCTGGACTCTCACTTCTGTTCCACTGATCTATATCCTTATGCCAGTACCATACTGTTTTGATTACTATAGCTTTGCAGAAAGTTTTGAAATGTGGGAAGTGTGAGTCCTTCAACTTTAGTCTTCTTCTTCAAGATTGTTTGGGCTATCCTGGGTCCCTTGAACTTCTATACAAATTTTAGGGTCAGCATATCAATTCCTGTGAAGAAACAAGGTAGATTTAATGAAGAATGAGTCTATAGATCAATATGGGGAGTACTGCTAACTTGACAATACATGTCTTCATATCCTTGAACAGAAAGTGTCATCAGTGACCTCTTTAGCGGTGTCTCGCAGTCCTTTGGAATTTGTTGAGAGCTGCTTTGGCTTCTGACAGGAGTAAACTGAGATGAACTGTCATGTGCTTGATTTCTAGTGTCTGAGAGCTACCTTGGGAAACAGACCAAGGCTGGGGTAATGGACTTTATTTTCTGTCAATAGGAGTTACCCACAGACACAAGGACTCTCTTGCCCTCTAGTTTCTCCTTGACTTGCAAAAGCTAAGATAACTCTGACCTCATAGTGTGAAACTCCACCTCCCCATGTTTCCATGTGGCTCTCAGTTACTAAATGTTAAAACCACATTACACGAAGAGTAAAACAGATTTTGTGACTTCCTCAGCGTGCTTGGACTCCTCAAATAAAATGACCAGTACCAAGTTCGCCGTGACCACAATGAAGTGAAATAGCATTTTGAACCCCCTGGCAAACTCAGAACTTTTCTAACAGAGAAGCCCTATTGTTTGTTTTGGACCATGCCCCACCAGATCTCCTCTTATTTTCTGAATAAGAGGAAATGTGAGGTGTTCCTGAACACACCAGTCACTGCTCAAGTATCTACCTGCTTTGACGATTTAGAGCCAGACTGTGAAAGACATACTCGTGTCTACATGAGAAAAGCAGGAGATATGATTTGGCCCGAAGCCAGACAGAAAATGTGTTTGTTACATTCCACAGTCTGGGTCATGGGGTAAGACAAATGATCCCATCTGGCCTGAGACCTGTGGAGCTCCTGTGGGAATGCACACAGCATAATCTTGTAACACTCTGTCCATCTGTGACTGGTCTGTTTCTCCAAAGGGGAAGAAGCTCTGCTGCTTCATGCTGCTCTTATTACCCCAATGTCTCTTTGCTTCGTGGCCCCATTGTCTCGTTTCTCTGGGTCTTCTGTGGAGGCTGTTGATCTTTGAGGATCTAAGACTGCCCTGAGACTGTTTTTTTTTTTTTTAAGAGAAATCATCCCCTACATTCACAGTACACACTAGGTATATGCAAACGTACATAAAGGAAAGGAAGATTATGAAAGTTCCAAAAAACACCCTACAATTGGACCAAGAATTGGTTCATTTTTCCAAGAGGAAAGAGGAGTAGACTCTGTGTTATTAATGTAGAGCACCATTTCATTGTCCACATTGGATAGACTCATAATTTTTCATCAACAAACATGTTTTTGAGGAAGTACCTCGTGAGAATCTTTCTCAACATAAAGAAAGCCTTGCTTTTCATTTGGAAACCAGACGCAGGGCCAGATAAATAGCATGAGTCTGGGGAAGTAAAGGATTCTGTTTCCTCTCCTCCCTGTTGCTGAGAGTGCTCTAGGTGAAATGTAAGTATCACTGGACAGGGTAATAGTGTGTGGGGTAACATTGAAGGTTTGGTGCAGTCTAACACAGGGACCTGGGCTCTTCCCTTGACCAAATCAATAAGAAGGCACAAAGTCACCAACAATGCTAGATCATGGAGGACAGTGGGCAGGGAGGGGGAGATGCTCATCAGGCCTCTGGCTTTAGAGCCAAAGATAAAGGTGG